GCTTGAAAGTGATTGGGCTCGAATAATTAAATTATTCGGCTTCGATTCGCTTAGTACAATCTCCGATAATTCCAAGGCTCGATTTAAAATAGAATCGATGCTTGGGCTATATGAATCCGACTTTAATAATTAAAATCGAATTAATTCTCCATTACTTAGACTTTAATACTAATTATTTAATTTAATGCAAATAATAATAATAAATGCATCAAATTAGGATACTTAATATTTATGGAAATATAGTCGAGCTCCATAAATAGTAAATAAAAGTTCTGGGCGTTACAAAAAGAGAGTGAGTAAAATGATAGAATAAAAAGGTTATATATTTGTTATGTTCATATAAAATTTACAGGTTTCTCATTCACATTATTCTTAAAAACCCAAATTAACGCGATTAGGGATAAATTGCTCGTCGATATTAACCGGGTTGTTTGGTCGAGCTTATGAGCTCTTTCCAAGTTGTTGATCAAATTTATTGTAAAAAAACTAAAATCTTGTAAAAAGATATAAGTTAAGAACTAATTAATTCATCTTGGGGAATTGGGAGATCCCCATATTTTCACCAAACAAAAAAGTTGACCAACTAAATGAAGGATCGTGTCCTTATTTAGATACGTCAACATGTTCAGTAAAGAATTGTAAGAACATTGGTTTGGCATCATGTCCGACAAACCTAAGTGTTCTCTAGAAGATTTTTTGTTAAAAAAGCAAAATAAATTAAAGGGAAGTTTTTCTATTTATTTACTTATGATTTAATTAAGTTCCTAATATTTATTATTAATTATATATGGTATATATTTATTGTAGTATGTATTATGGAATCCTAATCCTTTAGGAGAAGGATTACATAATATATATCTTATTTATTTACTTACCATATATGTCACATGCCATAATTAGTTCTCTCTTTCTTGTAGGACAAATAATAAGTGGCAAGGACTATGAAAGGATGAGCTTTCCATACAAGAAGAGTTCTGGACGTTCATGAGAAGATCTAAGGAGGATTTGAAAAGATTCACCACAAGATCTTTGAAGATTTGGAAGTCGGCTATTTTTGGAAAGTCATGTTCTTACCGGATTCTGGAAGGCAAGATTTCCATTGGAAGTTCAATTCTGAAGATCTCCAAATCACATGCACAATTTATACATCAAGGAAACTTACCTTACATGAAAGATTTCGTCCAAATCAGAAAGCAATCAATTGAGAAGGAAATTGACTCCTAAAAGGAAAGGAAGAACTTGGAGAAGACTCCACCCTAAGGAGTTGTATATATACTCTGCTTGAAGATCGAAGATATGAGCTGAAATAATTATCTTCCATTCAATATTCGAGCTTCAAGCCTTTTTAGTTTTATTTTGTTCACAGTTCAGTTCAAGGGTTCTTACGCATCCAAGAACTGAAGATGTTTAGTTTGTTTTTCTTAATTTCATTTAAACACTTTTGTGATCAGTACTTAGGGATTAAGTACAGTGGTTAGCTCGAGGGATTCGAGAGATAGAAGTCCACGGGACGTGGCCGGAAAAGTAATTGATAGGATCGTGTGTAGTTGTGGCTAGACTAGAAGGGAGTTCGAGTCGTGTAAGTCCAAACTATACAAGTGTGAACGGTTTATCAATGAAAGAGCTCTGAGGGGAAGTGAGACTCTTCCCTGAAGAGTTTTTACATCTTCGGTTTATTGCTTCCGCTATTTACGTTGTTTACCACGTTCTTACATCGTTTTGCGCACTCGAGTTAAAAATATACGTTTCAAGAATATATGTGATTAATTAGTCTGTCATCACTACATGAGAAGAAACAAGAGCTAACAAAGCTTGAGAACAAAATTTTAAAAGAGCGAATTGAATTTACTTTAGTAGAGGCGAAGCTCATCTCGTCGAAAATATCAGCCTCGAGTTGCATGCTGTAGTCTTCAAGAAACGAAGCCGGTTTTCTCAGCACAAAACTTGCCACTATATTATGACCTGTAAGGTATCAAACATTTATTACTACTAATAAAAATATTCTTCCCTTACGACAGAATTGAAAAAGACGCTTAGTTGCAGACAAAGTATTGACAAGTATTCTAACCAAAATTTGTTTAGTTGTTTCGCTCATGACAGAATTGAAAAAGGCGCTTAGTCGCGAAGAGGATGGTCATGAAGTTGAAACCATTAACGGAATATATGATCAAGTAACAAATATTGAAATGCCGTCACACGTGCCAAAACAGCATCAATACTAATGCACGAAAATAGTCACATTTTGCCAATTGATCCTTGAAACTCTTCTAGTAAACAATCTCTAATTACAGAAATCTATGCGAGTCCTATACTCGAGGTTCGCCGGAGACTCTGGGAATATCTCCAGGATTTTTTTGCGGATGTACAAATTCCCTGGCTTATATTCATAAGCAAAGCTTCAAAATAGGCAATCATGCAGCACCGCAACACAAATTTGCGCGGGAGGAGCTGCATATTATTAATTAGATCACCATTCAAAAATAATGTCTGATCACAACACACGAACTGTCACAGTATGCCACACGTCCCCATTCCCACGGGATAGAAGCGAAAAAAATGATGAAAGGAAACAAAAAAATGAAAAGGAAAGATCGACAAAGAGTAAGAATTAAACAAAACATATAGAAACCAAAAAGATGAGGTCGGGAGTTGTCAACATAAGCAATTCATCAACATACTAACAATTATATATCTTGATAAACAAATTTAGAAATACAACCAAAGAACATCAAAATTTGCTTATAACCACAAACTTCAATAAAGTTCCAAACTTTACCATCAAATTCAAAAACCCAATCACAAGTGAAGCATCACAAAATCCAGAAACTTAAAATAACTAAAACCCATCAAATCCAAGTTCCTCAAATGCACAAAATTGATCGAGATTACACAAAAGGCACAGCTCGGCACTTGCAGCAAAATGCAAAACCAACCAAATAACAGGTTATCTTATGGGAAAAAAAGCTAACTACATAAGATAAAACAAAGGCAAAAACACACGAACCTCCATAGTCCAGATCCAGATCTTCGTGGCGCCCAAATCGAAAGAATGGAAGCCAAAAAACCGCAGACAAAAGCACCCCAAAACCCAGCACCAGCACAAGAACGCATCTTAAGCTCACCAATTTCTGAAACCTACTGCAGCTCGAACAGCACCCGTTACTGCTCCCAGCGCCTGGGGTTGCACCCCGTGCATCAAGCGTTGTACTCGGCAAATTACGCTCATTCTCTCCCTTCCCCATTGCAGTAATTTGTTTCAGCAATGTGGGCTTTCGTTTTCATGGCTTTTTCCGCCAGACTCCATTGCTGCCGTGTGTTGGTGCAAGGGAGCTCATAGCTAAAAACCTCGCCTTTGCCTCTCTTTCCTTTTTCTCATTTTTTTTTTTTTTTTTCTTTTTTTCGGGGGTACTGAAAGAAAAGAAGAGAAATAAAAGAAAATTTTGGTGAGTGGTTCACGCCTTCACGGAGGAGAATTGAAAGGGCGATTTTATATTTTTTCATTTTGCATATTTTCCTTTTTAGGGTTTTGACTTGGACTTGAGTCTCGACTCGACTTGTTATGGCTAATGTTTTCGGTTCGAAAATATTTCATCTTTTGTTATCTAGAAATTAGTTGCCATATATGCTTAGTCAGTTGGTCGTTTCCGGAATTTTGAGTTTGTCAGAAATGGAGTTTAGATTTTTTTTTACCGAGAAGAGTTTCATTGTGAAATCATAAATAATATTAACAGTTCAGCTCGAGCTAGTTGAGCCTCGGCACGTTACAGATTCAAAAATATGAATTTTAAGTAATATTGACAAACGAGCTCGATTAAGACTCTAAAATTATAATATTTATAAAAGTTTATGTAGTTCGGTTCAATAGGTTTCGAGTTCGACTCGTTAATAATGGTAAACAAGCGAGTTTGAGCTCAATTGCCAACTTGTTTAGTTAAAGAGCCGAGTCAGTTCGATTACACTCCTAATTAACCGTCAACAACTTATATCAAGTGTCAACAACTTATAAACTTGATTTCGACTAGTTAAGATTTAAAACTCACCGACCGACCTGAGTATTAGGAGCTTCAACTCAACTCTCTCCCTCTATATAGAAAACTCTTTAGATAGAAAATTGTGGAGTTTTAACTTTTAAAAAGTAAATCTAAAAAATCAATAAATCAACTGTTTTTTTTTTTATATGGTTGTGACTTGTGAGGTAAGACAAGTCTTGTGCTATTTTTTTTTTTTTTTTTTTTTTTT